TATATATATATATATATATATATTATTATTATTATTTATTTATTTTTTTTAAGGTTAGGTGATGAAATGGGACAACAGTTCAAAAGTTTGATACAGATGAAAACTGTGGCTAGTCAAAACGATCAACTGCTGTTCCATACAGAAACGCTAGATGGAGACAAGCTCAGATGACAGACGCTACAAAATGCCACAGAAGTTTACAATCATACTGTCAGGTGTATTACAACAGAATAAGTTTAAAATTCTACAGAAGCGATATTTTTTTCATAAATATTGATAGGTTCTGAAAATGTGAGGTAATTAATATCTGGTTTACAATTAAAATGATAAATCAATCATATGTGATAAATCCTATACGATACTGACGAATGTCTGCCAATTTGCGAGCAAGGGAGTGGGGAAAAAGCGTGGCAAACAGTTTTTGCACGTTTTCTTTTTCTTGGTTCCTGAATAGCCCAGTCTGTGTCTTTAAACTGAGATTGTCTGTGCAGTCGCTATTAATCATGTACTCGTCTAGTCCCACCTCTTCCTGCAGCAGCACTGAGAGCGAGAGCGAGAGAGAGACTGAGCAGATCCAGTCAGATCATATGAAGTGACGGACAGCGATGCCAGTGGCAGCCCTGCGAGAGTACAGCGTATCTCTGAGCAATACGGACGCTTGAGAGAATAACAGGGCTAATTTCCGACAACTTCTTTGGATACATAACTGAACTCAGCAAAAAAAAAAAGATTTAATCAGCTAACATGAGGGAGAAGTGAATTTTGCACGCTTACAAGGGATTCTCAGTAATCATTTGTCATTTAAATGGCATGAAACGCGGATGTCAATAGATGTTTGAAGTGCACATGGATGTTTCAGCTCTGCTTTTTGTGTTTACCTTGTGTGTCTGTCCAAGATCAGCTGAGTAAGTGTTTATCAGATGTTGAGATGATGTTCTGCATGTACACAGGACAAGTTCAGATGTCGGATATGAAGTTATAGCCTAAATCAGCATGGCTTTGAGTGTATTCTTACAAACAAGTGATTTTAACATGTACATTTTTTTTTCGCTCCTAAAAAAAGTAAACCAGCAGTAAGCAATCATGGTAGAACCTGCTGGCTTTGTGGAAGCATGGAAAGCTCAGTTCCCTGACTCAGATCCTCCTGAGTTGTCTTTGAACTCTGTTGGAGACATTGAGCAGGAGCTGGAGAAATGCCGAGACTCTATTAGGCGTCTGGAGATGGAAGTGAACAAGGAGCGTTTTCGAATGATCTACCTGCAAACGCTTCTAGCCAAGGAGCGGAGAAGTCATGACTCTCAGCGATGGGGTTTCAGTAGGGTCTCGCAAGGTGAGCATAAGCCAGCGTCCACGGATGAGCATCATCAGAAAGCCGATGGAAGCAGGTGTCTCCCTGACAAGATGAAGCACACAACCGCTGCAGAGGAGAGTCATGAGTCTCAGCCTTGTGTTAAGGTGGTGGGATGTGTCTTGGACAGGCAGAAAAGCAGAGATGGAGAAGTTGACGGGATGTCTCCATACAAAAATAGGAGCATTGAAGCTCCTCTCAGGCCCATTGCTGGACGTGGACCTGCGCACCATGAGGCGGATGGCGTTCCAGAGTCTCCACCAAAGGAGAAGGTCACCACGGGGTTGGGAGTTGCTGCGCTTCGGTCAAACTTTGAGCATATCAGAAGAGCCAATTCTCAAACATCTGGTGAGGGGAAAAGCGAGAGGCCTTACTATGTCAACATGGAGTACCATCACGAGAAAGGTCTTGTTCGGGTCAATGATAGAGATGTCTCAGAGAAGATAAGTAGTCTGGGCAGTCAAGCTATGCAGATGGAACGCAAGAGGTCTTTGCATTCTGTCCCAGGTAATCTGTCCACTGCTTTTGGGGACATCCGTAAACCAGAGCGTTCTCATGAAAGAGCAATGGAGAGCGGTTACAACTGTGAGTACGAGGAGCCCGATCTAAACCCTGGGTTCCTTAAGGATAGTTCTTCAAGACTTAATGGAAGAAGAGCAACTCAGCAGAACTGGCACCAGTCAGAATGTCAGCCCTATACGACTGTTTATGTGGGGGGCATTATGGGAGATGGAGAGGACCTGCAATATATAAAAATTTTTTTTTTTTTTTAAGGTTAGGTGATGAAATGGGACAACAGTTCAAAAGTTTGATACAGATGAAAACTGTGGCTAGTCAAAACGATCAACTGCTGTTCCATACAGAAACGCTAGATGGAGACAAGCTCAGATGACAGACGCTACAAAATGCCACAGAAGTTTACAATCATACTGTCAGGTGTATTACAACAGAATAAGTTTAAAATTCTACAGAAGCGATATTTTTTTCATAAATATTGATAGGTTCTGAAAATGTGAGGTAATTAATATCTGGTTTACAATTAAAATGATAAATCAATCATATGTGATAAATCCTATACGATACTGACGAATGTCTGCCAATTTGCGAGCAAGGTGAGTGGGAAAAAAGCGTGGCAAACCGTTTTTGCACGTTTTCTTTTACTTGGTTCCTGAATAGCCCAGTCTGTGTCTTTAAACTGAGATTGTCTGTGCAGTCGCTATTAATCATGTACTCGTCTAGTCCCACCTCTTCCTGCAGCAGCACTGAGAGCGAGAGCGAGAGAGAGACTGAGCAGATCCAGTCAGATCATATGAAGTGACGGACAGCGATGCCAGTGGCAGCCCTGCGAGAGTACAGCGTATCTCTGAGCAATACGGACGCTTGAGAGAATAACAGGGCTAATTTCCGACAACTTCTTTGGATACATAACTGAACTCAGCAAAAAAAAAAAGATTTAATCAGCTAACATGAGGGAGAAGTGAATTTTGCACGCTTACAAGGGATTCTCAGTAATCATTTGTCATTTAAATGGCATGAAACGCGGATGTCAATAGATGTTTGAAGTGCACATGGATGTTTCAGCTCTGCTTTTTGTGTTTACCTTGTGTGTCTGTCCAAGATCAGCTGAGTAAGTGTTTATCAGATGTTGAGATGATGTTCTGCATGTACACAGGACAAGTTCAGATGTCGGATATGAAGTTATAGCCTAAATCAGCATGGCTTTGAGTGTATTCTTACAAACAAGTGATTTTAACATGTACATTTTTTTTTCGCTCCTAAAAAAAGTAAACCAGCAGTAAGCAATCATGGTAGAACCTGCTGGCTTTGTGGAAGCATGGAAAGCTCAGTTCCCTGACTCAGATCCTCCTGAGTTGTCTTTGAACTCTGTTGGAGACATTGAGCAGGAGCTGGAGAAATGCCGAGACTCTATTAGGCGTCTGGAGATGGAAGTGAACAAGGAGCGTTTTCGAATGATCTACCTGCAAACGCTTCTAGCCAAGGAGCGGAGAAGTCATGACTCTCAGCGATGGGGTTTCAGTAGGGTCTCGCAAGGTGAGCATAAGCCAGCGTCCACGGATGAGCATCATCAGAAAGCCGATGGAAGCAGGTGTCTCCCTGACAAGATGAAGCACACAACCGCTGCAGAGGAGAGTCATGAGTCTCAGCCTTGTGTTAAGGTGGTGGGATGTGTCTTGGACAGGCAGAAAAGCAGAGATGGAGAAGTTGACGGGATGTCTCCATACAAAAATAGGAGCATTGAAGCTCCTCTCAGGCCCATTGCTGGACGTGGACCTGCGCACCATGAGGCGGATGGCGTTCCAGAGTCTCCACCAAAGGAGAAGGTCACCACGGGGTTGGGAGTTGCTGCGCTTCGGTCAAACTTTGAGCATATCAGAAGAGCCAATTCTCAAACATCTGGTGAGGGGAAAAGCGAGAGGCCTTACTATGTCAACATGGAGTACCATCACGAGAAAGGTCTTGTTCGGGTCAATGATAGAGATGTCTCAGAGAAGATAAGTAGTCTGGGCAGTCAAGCTATGCAGATGGAACGCAAGAGGTCTTTGCATTCTGTCCCAGGTAATCTGTCCACTGCTTTTGGGGACATCCGTAAACCAGAGCGTTCTCATGAAAGAGCAATGGAGAGCGGTTACAACTGTGAGTACGAGGAGCCCGATCTAAACCCTGGGTTCCTTAAGGATAGTTCTTCAAGACTTAATGGAAGAAGAGCAACTCAGCAGAACTGGCACCAGTCAGAATGTCAGCCCTATACGACTGTTTATGTGGGGGGCATTATGGGAGATGGAGAGGACCTGCACTTGACCTGGCCCAGGCGGTCTTACTCACCTGGGAGTTTTGAGGATGGATACACGCCAGATTGCAGTTCCAATGAAAACCTGACGTCCAGCGAAGAAGACTTCTCCTCAGGGCAGTCCAGCCACGTGTCCCCGAGCCCCACCGCCTACAGAATGTACCGAGAGAAGAGTCGCTCTCCATCCCAGCACTCCCAGCAGTCTTTTGAGAGTGGCAGCCCCCCTACCCCACAGTCCCAGAAGCGTCTCAAGCAACAGCTAGTACTCTCCGACACCAATGTTGTTGGTGTCCGCAAGATCTGGCCTGCTGACGGAAGCTCCAACAACTTCAGCAGTTTCCATGGAGATCTGGGTAAGACAACATTCTTGCAGTGTTTACTTTTGTATGTATCGTAATGTCTGTTTGGTGGGACGTTGATAGGATTTCACTGTCCCACAGTGGGAGTATAATAAGAAAAGGCACAAAGATCCATTATAATGACATTTTATGTCAATGACTTGTCTTTTATAGGTCTTTACTTGTGCAACCTATTTAACATGTATCTGATTGGGTCATAGTTTGAGTATCTCAGTGATTTTCAAACTTACCTCTTTATACACACATGATATAATATACAGTATATAATGGTATGTGTATATATTTCATGCATAAAGACCCATTTATATTGTGTGAGGAAAACTATTGAAGAATAGTTTTGGCTTAAAAAAGAGTTGGCTTTTATGTTGTCACTGAACTAAATCCAAAACAAATTTTAAGATATTATCTAGAAAAGGTGTACTTTGTATTAACTGTTATTTAAAATATTCATACAAAATCAGGGCAAAAATAAAATAATTGTGATTAATCTTATGAACCAGCCTTTAGAAAGCCGGATGAAACCGTAATAACATCAAATTTGGAAAATGTGTTATAAAATTATAACATTTAAAGTATTTAATTAGTATCATCAGTCAAAAAGTTAACTTTGACCTAAGAATATGTTTTATAAAAAGCTTTTTCTTTGTCAAATTTCTCCACTATCCTCAAGCAACCCCTGCCTGTACCCAGGATTGAAACCCCCTGGACTATGATATAAGTTGAAGCAAATCCATAATTTTGTGTTTTTATTTTTCCAACTACATTTCTAGCATTCTACTGTCTGTCTTCTTTGTTTGAGCTCTCCATGTGGTTTCTCCCTGTCCTTATCTCGCTGTCATGATATGACTGATCTGATCTGCAGCATTTGAGGCCAAGAATGGCCTAAGGCAGTGCAGTCGCTCACTCTCTGTCCACTCAGAGTGTTTATGCATCAGTTCACATTAGTAGTGTTGTCCTGCCTAGGGATAATTAAGCTAAAGGGGTCATCTAGCATGGTGGACTAAGCAAAGCTTTTTGTTGGGGGAGGGGTGAAAGGCTAATTACAAGAAACAAACTAAGAGGGGAACTGAAGATGTCACTTGGACTAAAATATCAGACATCTGTGGTTATATTGGTTTGAATGGAAACGCAAAGAATGGTTCTTCATTGTGAATGCGAGCTATAATGCATTTGAATGTATGGTCACAATGCAAATGGTATGTATTGGAGCCATTCAGACTGGTTTTCCTCTTGAACTGTGGGTCAACACAATACAATGAAGAGATGTTGTCTGTAGCAAAGTGTCAGTTTGAAGCAGTCCTGCACTCAGCAGTTTAGGCTTTTAACAATTTCATTTTCACAATCATTCACACTCTTTGGTTGAGCATGCAGCAACTGGTGTAGCAACTTGAACACTCACGTTTTGTTCAGACCGACTTTATTTGGAGTCCCAGAGACCCAATGGTTTATAAGAAATGAAATTATTACTTTTAGTAAGGAAGGATGCATTAAATTAATCAAACGATTGTTAGAAAAAAAAAAATCCCACAAACATTTTAAGAAGCACAACTGTTCTGATTGATAATAATAAGAAATGTTTCTTGAGCACCAAATCAGCATATGAAATTGATTTCTGAAGGACACTGAAGAGTAGAGTAATGGCTGCTGAAATGTCAGCTTTGCATCACCGTAATATATTTAAGTTTTACAGTATATATTCTCAAATAGAGAACAGTTATTTTACTGAAAAAAATGTAGCCTTAGTGAGCATAAGAGAATTCTTTCAAAAACAGTAAAAAATGACACCAATTGAATTGCAGTATTAGTGTCCATTTTTGGAGAACATTTGAAAGCATGTTTTCAAGTTGAAATTGAGTTTATAATGAATTAAAAATCATATAGATATGTCATATCAAGCCATTTGAACTGGGCCTTAGAGTCTCAAAACAGAACATTAGTGTTAAATGATTACGCAAGAGCACAGTAATGATACAATCTAGATCAAGCTGAATACATCGTAATTGCATTGCTCATGTTGGTTCACATCTTGTTTCATTATGTATTTACTTTGCATTACAGTCTACAGCTGGAGACTGTCTTAATGTCTTACGAAATAGTCAATAAGACACTAACTCTTTAAGTTAAGTGCAGTTTGACAAAAAATAGAGAAACTGAGAGAAGACTTCAGAGCCAAGAGCAGATATTTCTCCTTTCAAGCAGAAAAGAGCCCATCAGCTCAGTCCAAGCTAGTTACATAAGCAGGCAGAGAGAGCGCAGACCTGCAAGCTCAGCACGCCACAAACAAATTGCAAATGATCAGTGTAAAGTTGCGTTTCAGTGACAGGATCGTGATTTACACCAGTGGGAATTGCAGCCGTTCTTCAGGCTGTCTCTAAGCTTTCTCCAAATTCTTTTCTGCGATCTTAATCTAATGCCCTCGAGCTGTTCAAAAACTGCACTTTCGAGTCTTGCAAGATAGATTAAAACGGTCTCCATTAGATCCGTTACCCTGAAAGAGAGTGATCAGAGAGCGTGATGCGCAGATTTTAGTCCTCGAAAAGCTCAGTCACGCTCACCTAGTGCCCCTCCCTCGTGTAAACATCAGCACTGCAGCCACGTGCGCTTGTCAAACCAGCACATGCTGCACCACAGTCTGTGGTAACTACCCTGATATTTCTGAAAATCCTCTTGTATTGTGAAATTACTGATACTTATATAAGCGACATACATTGTGTATATAGTCACGAAAGTGGCTGATACATGCCAGAGGTTATTTTGCAACGAGGAAAAGACATCTTAATGGAAATCCATTGAGGTAACACCCACAATAAAAAAATTCCTTAGGCCTCTTCTGTGGTAAAACAGTTATTTTTCACTCGTTTTTCAGAATCCACCTCGGCGATTGCTGTCGTGATCGATCGCAAGTGTTGTGCTTGGTGGGCTTGAAATGGATTGAGTCTGACTTGTGGGCATTATGCTGACAGAACCAGTCAGTGAAAGAGATCAGGTGGCTCTTATGTAGTTTTACTATTTGCCATTTTTTCTTGGGAAGCAAAATCTGGCAGATATCTCTTCCGTCAACTGGGTGTTAAAAGTCACCTCTAAGGAACAGACCGGCCCTGGCAGACAACCTAATCCTGCCTGTATTATTAAAATAAACAGTCGTTTGTTAAAGTCCTCACAGACTCTCGAGTTCACTGTGCATGCTGGCTTGAGCTAAAAAAGTCTGGCTGTAAGATATAGGTTTTTTCAGGCTTGTGGGTTTGCATGGCAAGGTTGGGAAAATTTCAGGAATGAAAGAATTGGCTTTCAGTTCCTGAGTATGAATTTGAGTCTGTAGCTCTATCTTTGTCTTTCTGTCTGTCTGTCTGTCTGTCTGTCTGTCTGTCTGTCTAATTTCTTTACATTTCAGTTCATTGTAATTCCTAATTCGAAATTATTTATACCATTTGTTACCTCAATTCAAATTCAGGAATTCAGTTGAAATTTAGAATGCATTACATTTTGAATTTCCTGCATGGAAATCCTTTCTGATAACAGGTGGTAATGGACTTTATCTTTGTTTTTTTGTAAAATTCTTGATTATTTTGAGGCTTTGCAAACAGAATCTGTGCTTCACATTCAGCAAGGCTTTGGAAATGGTGAGAGGTATTTGCTGGCTATCCTTCTTGTTGTTTTTCTGTTTTATCACCTGCCAGAGCCCATAAATCCAAAGAAAGCGTCAACATCAGAAATACCGTGCATACAACATAAAACATGCACCATGTGCGCCTAAAGCCTGACAGCAGCAGCGACCGCTGCATGTAATTTGCTTCTTTTCAAACAGTCTACTTATGTGGTCTGTTAAGCTGTAATTTTGCACTTCCAATGCCCTAAGACACACTAACTGGCCCTTTTTCTATGTGTGACTGTTTGTGTGTCACCTGTTGTCCTGGGGGTTGGACTGTGTTAACGGGGGCACGGCTGAGGCCAGGCTGGCGTGGGTCCAGCTGCACCACCATCACCAGCTGCAGGGGAAAGAGCACATCTTTCTCACTAATGTCATTTGATGGGAGGAGATTCCCACTCTGAATCACACAAACACACTGGTGTGTTATTTTATGCAGCTTAGATGTAAACCCATATATAGGAAGAAACAGTCACAAAACATTTATACGCATTTATATTCTTGGGGAATTAGCTGATTTCTAAGAATTAGTTTTATATCTGGGCTTAAAGACCTCATGGAATGATTTGACAAGGTCTTCTTTCCTATATTAAAACAGGAAGTTTGGAAAGGAAATATTGAAAGGCTTGTCCTTTTTTTTGAGTGTCAACTTTTAGTAGTATGTAAAATAACCCTACAGTTTGTTCTGTTAAAGAGGAACACCAACAAAAGGAAAAAAATCTCAACAATTACCTCAACAAACAGATATTTCTTGCTGTTGCAACAAACAGATATGACTGACACAAGTTTGAAAATGGCTGTCGCTGTGCCACCAAAAAAACCTCTTCCTTTTCACACAATGTGCTTTCTTATGTCACAAATGCAGAATATTCTCTTGATTACAGAGGACGATGTCAATGACGGAAAGAGTTGCTAAGGGCCCCTGTTGGCAAGAGTATCATCATGAAACTATTTCAGTGGTGTTGTAACTTCAAATGGACCCTGAAGAACTTGCTTTTCTGGGGTTTGCAATCAGTGTTTTTCTGGCTTCCTGTGGATTCTGTTGGTGTTTTAATAACTTCAAATGGACCCTGAAGAACTTGCTTTTCTGGGGTTTGCAATCAGTGTTTTTCTGGCTTCCTGTGGATTCTGTTGGTGTTTTAATGCAACCCTCTACATTGCGAGTAAACCACTCGCATATGCGACTAAATCTTACTATGGGCGACTAAATGATGTCTGATATTAGCCACTGGCTAATAAATTCTCAGATTTTACTCGCCAGTGTGAGTTGGAGGCTAAGTATAAGTTTAGCACAGATATATTTTCACTCGCCAAACACTCTGACTGAGCCCTTCAGAGTTTCACTCTCCGCCAAGCGATCTGTGCTGTTTTTCAGTTCATCTGAATGGATTTGCAACGCACCTGTATTTAACGTACCGTAAACTCTAGTGTGAAGGCACACGACTCGCCGTCACTTTGTTTCACACACACGCAGCAAGAGAGGGAGAGAGAGAATTGACGCGCTACATGTAAACGATATTCTTTGTTGTATTTTACTGTCAAATTAACGGAGTTCGTTTGGAATTGTTCTGCTTTTAAGAACTACCGCTTTTTTAAAATTAGTGGGCGGAACTAATGCGCAAACGGCAATCTCATTGGCTGGCGCTCACCTATTATCGTCCCTGTTTTGATTTCAGCAAATCAGTTCGAGCGAACGCACACAACCTGATTAATATTCATGAATCCAG